AAAGCGTCTGGACTTTGCCTACAAAGTTGCCACCAGAGAGTCATTGCGACAATCAAGACGGCATAAGAAACGTTATGATATTCGAGTACGGGAGGCCAAACTAGAATCGGGAGACAGAGTCCTGGTGAGGAACGTTGGTTTGAAGGGAAAGCACAAGCTTGCTGATAAGTGGGGAAGAGACGTGTATATTGTGGTGGAGCAACCAAATCCTGATGTGCCTGTATTCCTTGTGAAGAAGGAGCATGGAAGAGGAAATCCCAGAACTGTACATAGGAATCTCCTTTTACCCTTCTCAGGTCTTCCTCTCAAAAACACAGTTGAATCTGATGCTTCTTTTTCTTGTACCAAACCAGTGCACACTGTAGACACAACTAGTATTTCTAAAACTCCTGCTCCCAACTCCCCATCATCTGTTGATAAATATGTCATTCCTCAAAAACGCAAGTCCACTCTTAATCCATGTGCATTACCCTTTGTCCCAGACCGTGTTGCTAGAAAAAGAAAGCCGCCAAGTTGGTTAACATCAACTTATTGGGTGACATAGCATAGAAGTTTCATATTGTTGAGTATGATCGCAAGCTTTAAGGTATTTGAAAGAGACAGTGATGTCGTAACACAAATTTACTTTCATTTATCAAAGTTATATTATGGGGTTTATCTGTAACATATGGTATTTTTGCTTTACTGCATATACTCAAATTACATTGTGATTCTGATGTTGTGTGCGCTTTATTGGAAACCTCACAGATTTAAGTGCCATCTGTGAGATGAATACTGAAATAAGTGCTTAATAGTCATTTATGTAAGTGTTCTGAATGATTTTATTGTATATTGACATTTTTATGTGGGCATATAGGCCTGATGCTCATGTATATGGTGTCCTGTCTCTGTGACTTTACATGAAACTTTGACAGATTTTTGAGCTGTAGTGTAGATTATTGTTAGCTACAGTAGTTATTGAGTAGTCTTTGGATATATTTGTACGATATGTACAGGAGTATAGAGTATTATTGGACAGTATAGAGAAGAACCTTGCGGTTTATCTATTCTACTTATTCTAAGGTAAGTGTTTATGGGTTGACCTTTATTTAAATGTCGGGACGACATTTCCCTATGAGGGGGATGATGTCACAGGGTCAAGTATACATTGTCCGTATTGCCAAGTGCTGTATATTTTTGGTCTGTTCGTGACCATGCCTGTCTCTGTATATTTATATGTTAATGTCCATGTCCCTAATTGTTTTCCGTAGTTATTTCTTTAATTCATATACTCATAGCTCATATCTCATATCCAATAGCCGTTACCTATACATAATAGTACTTTATAACCTTTTCAATATCTTCGATTAACTTTTCTCGCTAATATTTCAATTTCCCCGCTAATCTGCACAACGCATGCGCACTTGAATTGAGAAATTGTTGGCGCAGGCCACGGTTTTGTTGTAGGGAAGAATAAATATTTTGAGTAGCGCATACTTGTCTTTTTACAGGTAAATAGACTTTTGCAGATGATGCTATTATTATTCATATATATTTTGCCATTCATCGATTATTGTGATTTTCATATTTTGCACTTGAATTGAGAAATTGTTGGCGCAGGCCACGGTTTTGTTGTAGAGAAGAATAAATATTTTGAGTTGCGCATACTTGTCTTTTTACAGACCCCTCTACACCAGGTCCAGAACTCACAGCAGAGTCAACGACCCCTTTGTTTCGTTTGAGCTGCGACATATATATAAGTTTTATTCTAAGTACTAGAGCATAAAAATTATGTTTACATATGAAAGCATTCTATTGAACTGCTATCAGAGAGACAAATCTACACTGAGTTAAACCCACGTGACTAGAGAGTATATCATATAACACAACAAGTCCCACTTCAAATCCCCCAGCAGAAGAGGGCTCCCCCTCTCTAGCACCCCGATGTATCTGATAAATAGGGCATGGTTTTTACTACTTGAGGCATCAAAAGGGAGGGTGAAATGGCATGAAAACACGTCTATATGAGGTAAAAGGTAAAACATATAGTGAAATATGTTGACCAGTTACACTAAACAGTTGACCAATTAGATATCTAGAGAAGTTTGTTATTTTGCCAGCATAATGTTAGTAAATATATTATATATTATAGTAAATATAATAGATTCTACATCTCGCAAATCAATCAAACCATTGCTGAGAAACTAAAATATAAAAGAAATTGCTTGTGTGGTTTTTGCCGTATTTTCTTCTTATTCTATATGGTCAGAAGATTTAACGTCATACGGAAAACTGCTGACCACTTAAACGTAAATATAGAATCTGCAGACCAGTCAAACATATTGAAGAATCTGCTGACCTACAGTTAAACTTAAAGTGAAAATTGCTGGCCACTTATATTAGATAAACAGAGAAGTTTAACATACAATCTTTATTGTTTCACACTGTTAGCAGACCTGGGGATGATTACATTGATCAGTAATTGATTTAATTACAATTACTTTCTGATTTTATTGTAATTGATTACTATTGATTACTCAGACTTACCTCTGTAATCAATTGAATTACAATTACTCTAAGAGAGTAATTGATTGATAATTGATTACATTCAATGTAAAGTAGAATCCCTACTAATGACCATACCTGAATTAAGACCACCCCCTTAATAAGACTATTTTTTTACAAGGTTCTTTGTGTCAATTGTTACATGAACAACTGCTTATCCACTTTTAAGACTACCTTATTCAGTCCAAATTATTTGCTTTATTCTTAATTTGACTCAACTATTGAGACCACTGATATTAAAATCAACACCTATCTAGATCTTAAATTTGTCGTTATGATCTGCTTGAATGCTTTGCATGACACTTAATTTCACAAGGTGTGAAAAACTGTTATTATTGGGTTATTGTATGAAATAAGGTGAGAAGGTAAATTTTAGAGTGGTTTAATGTTGCTTCTAGCAAATTTATTTTTTGTGAAGAATTAATTTTTATTTGTGATTTATGTACATCATATAATAAAATAACAAAAAAAAATAATATAATAATTGATATTGAAATCTGACCAAAGAGAATTTTAAGTTAATTTTTTTTCAGAAATATCATTTTATGTTTTCCTCCCATCAGATATCAAAACATACTTTTATAGTGTCTTTTATATTGTGCTTGTAGCTTAAGATACATACGTTGTTGTTTTTTTTTTCAAACAAAATGACTAAAACAGACCATTGTCATAAAGTATGTAAGCAATGATAAGAATGCTCACAGTTAAGACCACCCTACAATTTTAGACCACGTTGGTCCAGTCAGTAAAGATGGTCTTAATTAAGGGCTTTTACTGTATAAATGTAAAACAAAAGTTACACTGTATCATGTAAAATAATGGCATCATTTGAATTAAAATAGTTTCCTGTTAAATCTGAAAGTAATCAATGTCAATCAAATTGTAATCATGATTACTGACAGAATTTTAGCTGTAATCGATTAATTACAATTACATTAATCAATTTTGGGCTAGGTAATCAATTACATGATGATTACAGTGTAATCATGTAATCAATTAAAAAATCAATAATTACAATTAATGATTACCCCAGGTCTGACTGTTAGTAAATATAATAAATTCTACATCCTACAAAACAATAAAGCCACTGATGACCAATCAAAAATATTATAGAAATAGCAGTGTTTTTTATATTAAACAAAGCCGACCAGTTAGATTTATTATGAACTATATTTTATAGAGAAAACTTATGAATTAGAAATGAAATGCGTATTTTCATTTTCACAGTAAAATTTGTTCTTGACTGCAGTGAAACATATTTTCGTATTTTCACTTGTGTCTTGCCGGACTACTTTCTTCTAGATTAAGCCGATATACAAAATTTAAGGCTAAGACTATCACATTGTATCAGTAATGTCAAAAATAAAAAAAGTACATGTATATAATAATAGCGCAACTCATGATATTTTTATTTTCATACCACTCGATAAAAATAAATCCTGCATATATAGAAAAAAAACTAGAATGTCCTCTGTGTACTACATTAAAATATTGTTTGCATCTTTTAAATGTCAACATAACATCATTTTCATCTGAAATCTTTCGACTTTTTTTAAAGTTTCACACAGTTTATTACATTTTCGTGTATTTTATATAAGTATTTCCCCTATCTAAGAATTTAATTCAATTAAAGTATCGATTTTGGCAATATTTGTCCCCTATCTTTTGAAATAAAATGTTACTTTTTATTAATTTATAATTTTATTTAGACGTTTTCAGTATACAAAAAAAGAAACAAAAACAAACAAAAAAGGAAAGAAAACAAAAAACAAACAAGAAGAAAAAAATCTATTGACAAAAGTAAAATTATTTTCCTATATTCTATACCGTCAGCTTATTCGTCAGCAGTTTATAATTGTCCACCGGAAGGCGATAGTCGACAATGCGATAACGCGATGACGACAATACGATAGTGCGATGGCGACAGTGCGATAACGCGATGACGACAATGCAATTATGCGACAGTGCGATAGTGCGATGACGACAACGCGATAGTGCGATGGCGACAATACGATAGTACGATACCGACAACGCGATAATATTATCGCACTATCGTATTGTCGCGAACGCATGATCGCACTGTCGTCATCGCGTTATCGCACTGTCGCCATCGCATTATCGCATTGTCACTATCGCATTGTCGCATTATCGTACTGTCGTCATCGCATTGTCGCACTGACGTCATCGTACTATTGCACTGTCGTCATCGCACTGTAGTATTGTCGTCATCGCACTGTCGCATTGTCGCCCTCTGGATTAGAAAGTCTTACCACGATGGCCCTAACGGTATTCCGTAAATAGGTGTACTGGCATCCTTCCTGATTGTTATTGCACAGGAACTTGAAATTCTATCAAATAACCAATATTAATGATAATATCCAAATATACCCCCTATATACTATAAATTTATAGTATATAGCGGGTATATTTGGATATTATCATTAATATTGGTTATTTGATAGAATTTCAAGTTCCTGTGGTTATTGACTGTTGATGTAACATGGATGACAAAGACAACATCTTCTGGAGAAGATAACGTTAACAACAAAGTGCTTTCTATTCAAATACCAAGGTATAGGAGTTATTTAGCAGAATATACGATATATTACCACGTGAGTAAAGATTTGCGTTTAAATATAGTAAACACAAGTAACATTCAAGATGAGGAACGTTATGTGTTAGATCAAACATTATCAGAAGAACAATGTGACATACAAATCCCATCACAGAAATTTGACTGTTATCCTGAGAAGTCTGTTACTGAAGAGGGATGTTTAGATAGGGGATGTTGCTGGCAAAAAGATTTAAGCAGACGATTACCCATACAGTCAATGAACGAAAATGACACACAATCACCTGTAGACCTTTCATACTGCTTCTATCCAAGAAACTTTCCTGGTTATTCTGTGGATGAAAGAACAGATACCCCACCAGGATTAAGTATGAAACTTACAGGGAAACCCCCGACCTATTATCCTAAAGGTGTTACACAACTGGCTGTAGACGTTAGTTATGAGAGGGGTCAAAGGTTACATGTCAAGGTGAAATTATATATTTATTTATCTAATTATTAATTCAGAAACAAAATATTTATTATATTTATTTATAGGCATTCATATCTGTGTTAAAAAAGTCAGGAAATTTAAACACATATCCGGACATTTCTGTTTGGGGTATTCAAGGAGCTATATTTCTCAGCTCCAAAAGAGCTATACAGCATTACACTGTAACAATATTTTGTTTCTCTTATAAATATTCTCAAACCGATCAATACAGGTTTTTGTTATCTTCTTTTTTCTGTATTTATAAAATATAGTTGCTTGGGTACTCAACATGTCATGTAGTCATTACATGTCCTATGATATCAAGTAAACTCCCTCAGTAAGCGAACTTGTTTTACATGTCCACAGCTTTAATTACATCGCCTTCTTTATTTACCCATTTTATTGAAACATTTTATGTAAATATCATTTGAAACAGGTAACATATGCTTTGAAGATGCATAAACCTATAAAAGCTGATAAAGTTGTATTTTGTGAAAGTACATGTTTACACGGGAACTTAAAATGTCACATTTATGTCTGGTAATGTTTATTTTCCTGCCGCAAATAAAAAACAAAATGTGTTTATCTTGTCCTCATGTCGGGTAATCGAGCGGACAACAAAAATGCCATTTGCACTCATGAAATAGCAGTTTAGTATAACAGTTTTATCATTTCTATCGAAGGTTTATGATCCAAATAACAAACGTTCTGAAGTTCCCATAAGAGTTCCCCGACCAGACAAAAAAGCAATTGCTCCCAGCTATATATGTAGTAAATGTAAGTGAGACAAGAACACTTTTCTGGCTTAATGTCACTAGAAGATCTGATAACACTGTACTATATAGAAGCATGTATTCTAAAACTCATTACAGTTCTCACTACATTGTATTTACTCTGTACAAAGATCGAGGGTTCGAATCCTAGGCTGGTCACCTTCATGCTTCATCATGATCACAGTTCTATTGTAAACGAGGAAGCAGAATTGAACGTTGTAAATGCCAATTTCTTTAAAAGCATGTTTAAGGTTTTAAAAAGTCAACTTATTAATATATTACACTAAACTATTGTAATTTGCCTGATTTTGAAGTTTATTATAGAAACAGCTAATATTAGGTACTAGTAAATCAAGATTTGGTCTACCGGGGACATATTGAGAATGATAGACCATATGAATTCGCGCTTTGTATTTTCACTTCGCACTATTTTCTTAGCTGTAATGATTTTCTTTACAGATTTTCAACAAAAGGAGCAGCACCATTGATTTTTACAGATCAATTTCTTCAACTATCATCTCTACTTCCCTCATCATATATTTATGGTATTGGTGAACATAGAAATAATCTCATGCTAAATGTAAACTGGACTAGGAAAACACTGTGGATCCAATTGTTCGTATATGAAAGCAAACTTTTATAAATCCCTTTTTTAATGAATGATGGTTTTAAACAATATTCTACGTTTTATTGTAAAGTTTAAGTGTGTGTTGTAAAATACTACTTTACCTTCATTTATTTATAGTAACATTATGTTATAAAAGTTAATATGTTGAAATTAGAGAAGTTTTAGTTTATCAAGGTCATTGCAGTTTCACGTGATATCGTGTATCATAAAAGCGTTCGTGTAAGGTTACAATTATGTATCTATAAAAAGAAAAAAAGTACAGGAAATTTGTAGACTTCATTACGATAAAGGCCAGATGTATATGCATTTAAAACGCCCTTCGGGGCCGATTCAAACTTTACGCTTAGTTCATCCTTTATTATGAAGACATGAGTTTAAACCTTAAATGCATTTAATTTTAATCCTTTTAACATTCGTACATGCATGTACATAATGTAGAAATTCTATTGTTAGGAAAATAGGAACATGTATGGATCACATCCTTACTATCTGGTCATGGAAGAAAGTGGAAAAGCAAATGGTTTCTTTCTGTTGAACAGCAATGGAATGGGTGAGATCATTTGTAATGATGCTTTGACGGTTTCTATCATTAAAAAAAAAACGCATTATTATATATGTCCGAGTTACTTCAATACACTGCCTTAATCGTTGACAGTTTGTTGTGCAGTTACACATGCAGAAGCACGAGGGTGCATTTAAAGCCC